AGGTATTCTAATTTAAGTGGCATTCATATTTCAATTTCCATTGTCACTAATAAATGCTTGAACTTTAGCCTTCAAAGGACTTGAGTAAGGGGATATATCTTTGACCTGACGTGGCTATCTTCTCCAAATTGGTTGAACTGGAGCTTTTTTCCATGGATGTTAGAGAACGACGTCATGGTTCTTATCCTGTTGATTTTTTGAAGCAAAAAAAGGAGCTGCAGTGATCCAAATATAAACAATTGGAAAACACGTCATTTGATGGCAAGATGGAGCTTTGTAATCTTAAACGCATAAATTTATGTGGATGTTCAATGACAAGCCTTTTTCATCCATCCACAGCACAGAGTCTAAAGCAACTAGAAGCATTACGTAGCAGAGACCCTGGATGGTCATGATCCTAATCAAAAGAATTATCACTAAATGTTCCCCAAATTGAAAGATCTCTTACTCATAATTTGTCCCAAATTAGAATTTATAATGCCAATATATTTTTGTGAGGACCTTCAACTGTTGGAACGTATGCATATTTATTATTATCGAAAGCTAAAATACATATTTGGGCAATAATATCTAAAGGAGAGAGATCTAAATTTGCACCAAAAGGGAAAAGGAGCCATCCTTCAATTGCTAGAAGAAGTGTGCTTTTGGGGAGCACCAAATTTCATCAACGCATACGGAAAATATTGTTATCTCCCATGCCTTTGTTCAGAAGAAGTACAAAAGTCTTCTCCAATTACAAAAGTGGAAGTTGGCACTAGCAGCTTATCAAAGAGTCTTTTACATTATTTTTGGCCCAAATCAAATGCCTCAACCAAACATCACCCTTCTGCTTCCATGACCACCCAACTAAATCATAAACAGGTAATATATGATGCAGATTACTCGCAAGTTATTTTTTTCAGTTCATGAAAGAAGAACTCACTTTTTGCATGGAATAAAGGCATTAAAGGTGAACTATGTTGTGAATAGAGCTCATGGGCTTTTTACACCACCATCATAACCATTCACAAGTTTGATGAGAAGGATGGAGATATTTGGATTGTGTGGTTTAAAGTCACTGTTTACGCAATCTATTGTCTCATCATTAAAATTGCTGGAATTATTGCAAGTCAAAAATTGCAAGACGTTAAAGCACATAGTAACAAATGAAGAGCGTGGTCATGATCATGTGAATGTTCACTATATCTTCCCCAACTTACGAGAGCTTTATGCCTCATATTGTAGCCACTTGGAATTTATTCTCCCACCTTTTTATTCAAAAAATAACGTGAGCTTTCAAAATCTTTCCATGGTAACAATCCAAGGATGCAAACGACTGAAATTCGCCTTCTGTGCATCTTCCTTTAGATGGCTGCAAGAACTGAAAAGGTTGGAGGTATTAGACTGTGAAGAGCTAGTAAGCATTATTGAGGATGAAGAGAATCAGAAAAATCCTATGCCTCCGCCTCAAGCATGTTTCCCAGAGCTATGTGGAATTACAGTGAAGCATTGCGAAAGTTTGAAATGCCTCTTCTCTAAATCAAGTGGTAAGCTTCCACAACTCTTGTATGTGAATATAGAAGATGTGCCTCAGCTTGAGCAAGTATTTGGATGGAAGCAAGAAGAGGGATAGAAGCCAGTCATGGGGGATGTTCTTCCAAAACTAGTTGCAATAAGACTAGTAAAAATGCTAACTCTTCATGCCATCTGCCAAGGAATTGATTTTCAGAATGTGAAAATACGTTATGTGTGTGAATGTCCTAACATTTCTTTAACTTCAGCTAATGATAGCTATGATGAACGTAAGTATTCATATAGCTAATTCATTAAAACTGCCATAATTGCTTTAATTTGTTTTCATATTAATAGAAGTATTCTGTTTCAACAGTTCGTGGATTTTCAAGGCCATTTCAAATACACTCTGGAGATGAAAAAGAATACTATGCAGAAATTTCGAACTGGGATTTTGAGGTTAGCATCAAAATAAAATGGCTTGATTGGCTGAAAGAAGAAAAGCAGGGAGATGATAAATGATCATTTTTACACCAATAGTAATGCCAGAGTGAAAAGGGTTCTAGTAGTAATGATTTCACTTTCAGTCTATATGAGTCTACAGGAGCCTCTGATCTTCTTCCAAAGAATTAAAGAACCTACCAATGAATGTTCTTCCAAAGAAACATCAAATAAAATGCCACTTACAATTCCACCATTTGGTTTCTAATATAGTTGCACTATTGATTTGTTATATCACCGGCTTTCATTCAGATTAATTTTTCTATTTCTATGCTCTTAGATCTCTTCATTCTCTTCTCCGAAAAAGCCTCAAAGAGGAACTTCAGCTCCTCACATGGAAGTGGAAACCGGGAGCTCGCAATCAGACCCATTACTTGTTTCTGTGATTACTGATCAATCTGCACAAGTAAGCCTTCATTTGATTGCATAAGTTTTGGGACGCAATTTTATTCTTTAAAACTAGAATATACTAATGCTAGGGCAGAGCAATTTGATAATCAACCAATGCCCATATGTGTATTGAGTATACATTATTTTGCTTGTTCTTCTTCTATATGTCGCAGCTAGAACATACAAAATTGGGTTTCTTACAATATTGAGAAGGTAAAATTAATGCTTCATTTCATTTCCTTTAGGGTCAAATTATGGTCAATCAAAGAGGACGCTCTGTTGATAATGATCTTAATAGATTATTGCAAATAATGAAGGGTGGTTTTGAGTTGGAAGGTGGCCAGCCTTATATTTCCAAAATTGTTGCTTTTGAAGATGACGAAGTGGCTAAGGCATTTGATGATTTGGAATCCTTATTGAAAATGGATCCCAATCAGATAGCTAACTCTGAAGAACAAACTCATCTCCTTGAGAATGCAATAAACTTGTTGTCCATCCATTTTTCCAAAGATGGAACTTCCTCTCACGGCCTTATTAAAGGCAAAATAGACTCTCTTCGGGAAGAAATCCTAAAAATTATCTCATCCTTCAAGCAAGCTACTGATAAGCTTTACAGATTCACCAAGCTTCTAGAAAAAGAGAAGTGGGTCGATGAACATTATGCTCAAAAGATGGAGGCAACCAGTACTCTTGTGTCTGAAATCCGCAATACTGAGAATTATATGATTGAACTGGAGGAATAGGTCTCTAGATTGCGGGCTGAATTGAAGAGCAACAGAGAAAAAGAATTAGAAGACTGTGAAATCAAACTGTCTTCTCTTCAAAAGCAAAGAAGGAATGTGTATTGGATATCATAAGGTTCATGGGAGAGTACGAGGCTGTGAAGAAAGACAAGTACCATGGGTTGGATGGCCAAATAAAAGCAAGCCAAGAATTAAAAGAGTTGGAAAATCAATAGCCTTCTTGTCTGGCTGATTTGAGGAAAACTGCACTTTTGTTGGGAATCCTTCTTCAACTATCGCTCTGATTATTAGGGATTGTTAAGTAAATAACCCAAAAATAGCATTAGAAATATAAATTTCTAGAGGGTTGCCAGATATTTTTCACTGTATTGATCAGGTTGTCATATGTGTTTTGGTGTAGTGTGTTATCATTATGGGTAATTTTCACTTGGTTCAAAGTATGGGTCAATGATAAATCCTAATTTTAACATGCTAATTAATATCTTTTTAGAGATATTTATCAATTAAAGTGGGATAATTTAAATTGATTGTGGATATTTTGAAATAAATGCTCATTACATGAAACGAGAGATTTAATAAAAAATCTTATCATATTTTTATCTCTTTTTAAATAACTGATTTTAGGCTTTATGATAGTATCTTAATTTATCTTTTGCACGTCTCAGAAAAGGAAATAAACATAAAAGGAAAGCTGAAACAAAAGGAAAAGAAATTTAAAAGAAGAAGAAGAAGAAGAAAAAGACGCAAGAGATGGAAGACACGGATTTTGGAAAGATATTAGGATATACTCTTTCGGTCCTAAATATAAGACCCTTATACTAGTATATATACGGGTCTTATATTTAGAACTGAAAGAATATATTGAATCCATCAATTGCAAGACACGGAGGCCATATAGTGCACACTGCCAATGTAATTGCCCTATATGTATATGAGGCCGCAATATCAATGCAAGACCGCACTCACACACCTTTATATCCTTTATAGCCATATACTCACCCCCAACACCAGTTCTCACAGCCACACCAGTAGTGGCGCGTCGCCCACCTCTTCCATAACCATCATCATCACCTTCGGCCTCCATCACTTGTTTCTTCCTGCAGAAAATTTTCCCCACCCACTCTCTCACCATAGCCTCCATGGATTCCCATTGCTTCAAACTTATGGTGGATTCTTCTAGAGTTATGAGACACTAGAACTATTGTGCTTCTTGGAGATGGAGGAGTAGTTTGAACTTGGAGCTTTAACTAGGGGAGTATTTATCTTTTTAATTAATTTTCTCTTGGACTTCATTGGATTTTTTCTGTGCTAGGAATTATTTTTATTTGATTTGGAGACTGAGATTATGCGTTATAATTTCTGTCAATTGGATTTTTGCAATTTAATTTGAGTTATATTACTTGGGATTTGAATTTTTATATATATATATATATTTCCTTTGCATTCATTGAAGTTATTTTATCTAGCATGTTGTTAGATTTTATGATTGAGATTATTGCAATTAAGTGTTTCCATGAGCATTCTTTGAGAGAAACAAGTTTTATTAATTCAATTTAAATTGCACATCAAGTGATTTTCAAAGGTGGCTTAATAATTTGATTACTATCTAGCATTTAGGGTAGTAAAATGTTAAGTTTATTTGATCCAAATTGTGTTTGGGGTTGCTTTTTTAACTTGGTGCATTATTTTACTCCCATATTTTTATTAAGCAAGGATAGCTATATTCCATTTCTCATAAGCATTCTCATAACTGATTTTCTAAAAATCCAATTTTGCATTTTCCATTATCTTTCTATTAAAAATATAAAAAGTATTTTATAATTATTTCTTTATTTTCATAATTAGTCTTATTTAAAGAAAAATCCTTTTTCAAACCCCTCCTTTTTAATTCTTTTGTCACTTAGTTAACTTAGGAATTAATAAAAAGTTCCTCAAGAGACACGATTCGAATTGTGCTTTATTGCATAATTTGGTTTTATTTTTTATTTAACCCAAGGCGACTAAAAAAGTTTAAATTAGTCATATTTTTTCCTCATAATACCCGAGTTGTGCTTTACTGCACTTTTGTTGGGAATCCTTCGTCAAAGGTTCCTCATATTGTAGAAATCCCAAGTTTGAGCTTTCTGCGTACTTTCGCTATGGCGAAGTTAGCTGAGCGCCACGGTGAAATAGATGGATTGAATATATTGATTGCTTCTATCATACTTTGTCGCAGCAAAAGTGTGAGAGCACCGCGGCGAACCTTTCTGAGAACAGACAAAGAAATGAAAGTAAAAAAAATATTTTATAAAAAGAAAAAAAGAGGGAAAAAAAAGAAAGAAGAAAAGATGAAAAATGAAAAAAAAATATGATAGAAAAAAAAAAGAATAAACAATGGGTATTATGAGGAATAATTGAACTCCATTGAGTGTCATCCATATTTTTACATATTCAATTACATGCGAGCATTTGGGTTCATTTTCATATCCACTATTCATATCTTCTTTCCATTATATTCATACATTTACCCATCCATTCAATTACCTTTCTAACACTAAAACCTAATAAAAGTCCTAGTGATCTTTTACACCGTTGCTACTAGTGGTAGAGAGCTTAGAACCATTACAAGCATATAATAGAGGATGGTTAAGTGGATATTGAGTGATATTACCCTCTGAGAAGTAAGAGTGAAACACTTACCCTTGAGAGGTTCCTTTGAGTATTCATTTTGGTTAGTCTTTGCATCACTTGTTTATTTCTTTTAGCATATGATGTGAGTATGGATTGGATACGAGTATGAAATTGTAATTACCAAATGTGATTCTTGATGCCTACATGACTCATTTATTCCTACCTCTTGTTTTATATTGAAATGTTTTAATTTGCCCAATAGTACAAAAGCCAAGTGTGGTAAGTTGACAAGTCTCACATTTAACCTGTATTTGCTAGTCCAAACTTATGCTTTTATAGCTTTTAATTGTGTAATTTGGGTTGAATTAGAGGTTTTGTACATCAAGGGTATAAGAGTCAATTATATACTTTTATGTGATAATTCTTGAGTTTTATTCATGTATTGGCTCTTATGTATCTTACATACCTTAAATTAGATAACTATAAACTTAATGTGAATATTGTAGGTGATCAAAGGCTAAAGAAATCAAGGAAGAAGTGATTCTGCCTCACTTAATCATGATGAAGATTAGAGTTCGCCGCGCGAACCTACTCAGCTAGAAGCTCAGAACTCACTAATCCAAATGGCGTTGTTTTGGCTTCGCCGTGGTGAAATATTGCCGTTGCCACAGTGAAAGGATCAGGATTTGCATTTAAATTCCATAACATGTGCCAGAAACCTCATTTTATTGATCTAGACTTCATTTTCTCCGTCCAAACTCTCCCAACTTCATTCCTCTTTACCTTTCTACCATTCTCCTTCATCAATCCATCATTTCTACCCCAATCCTTCCATTTTCTACTGATTATTCTCTTCTATTCATCCTCAAATCATTGCTACCATGTCTATTGGAGTTGCTGAGCTTATACTTAGGCTACTTGATTCTCATCCCTTTTTATATGCACGGCTCGGTACTAGAACTCCTCTAACAGTACACCCTAAGTTGGAAATTCTATCTTTATTGGTAATAGCACCGTTCTACTAGGTCCGGTCTCTAACAATGCATCGTAAGTTGGAAATTTCATCTTTATTAGTAATAGCAATGTATCGCTAGGTCTGACCTAATTAGTCTATGGTACTAGGACACTCTCTGCATTATCATCTAGGTTTATAAAATTCACGTCATTGGATTCCACCTCTGAATAGATATCATCTATCTCATGGAGCAATGTGTAATATCCTAGAGCAAAAGTAGAATCATCAGGGTCTTCCATTACTGGATGATAGCATGCAAGAAATGAGGGGCTAAGAAGCCTTTGGATAATAGTTTATTCAGATTGATCTCCCTTTATACAAGCCATTATTCTATTTCCTACAAATCTCATCATGTATAACTAATATAACATCCATAACATACAATCAAACATAGCACACAGAGTCAGAACCTTTACTCTGATACAAAAATGTAAGACCATCATTTTAGACACAAGTGAATCCAAAATATCCATTAGAACTGTATTGGGTGGTCTTAAGCTTAGGAAATTCAACTTTGAAAAAATTAGTTTCCCGGGTTACTATTTATCCAGTAACCCTACAAATTTGGCCAATTTCAAAAATTCATAACTAATTCTAAAAAAATCAAAATGAGATGATTTCAAGTTTTGATTGAAGCTCTTTCATTTGTCTACATAGAAAAAATAATCATTGGTTCATTTTCTTTACCATTCATGCTCCATTTAATGTGCAAAAAGTACTATTCAAACTGATAAATTTTTAATTTCCAATGTTTTTTTCCCATAACTTCACAAATCCATAACTTTTAGCTCACAACTCCAAATTTAGTGATCTATCACTCTAGTTAAAGTCTAAAATATTAAATTTAAGCCTACGATGTTTCATGGCCAAATTCAAATATTTCAATTAAAAAGTCACATAGCCAAATTCATGGTTTTCCAAGCATTTTTATCCCTTCTAATACTTCATTTTCACGTCATTAAACCATGATCATGCAATTTTATCCTTTTCCAATCACACCAACCCATAATCATGCATGACATAACTTCTTAACTTATGGAAACATAGTCCCTTCCAAGAAATCCTCTAAGTTATACAAACCACTAATATTAATCAGAAGTCAATAATTACATTACATAATCATTAACATAATATATCAAGTATTCTTTTCTTATTTCATCTTATCTTTCCTTTTCTCCCTTGATAGTCTAGCACCTAGGGTTGTTGTTGTATAAAAAAGTGAGACATAGAACAAACAAGAATAATATAAAACATGCAGGGTATGTTACGCTACATGCAACATCATTCTCATACTTTCATTCATGCCATCATTGTGCCATAGAAAGAGAGCTCATAATCATTCCATTTGATAACTCAATTATGCATAAGCCAAGGCAAATAATGCAAGAAGTTAAACATTTTATCATATAGCTAGCTTAACCACATCATGGCATAGAAACACAAAGTAAAAACCAATATAAGTTAACATTAAAATTATAAGTCCATGCTACCTTAATCCAAGTCTAGCCTTATGCCTTCCTTCCCTTGATCTTGAAGTTTCTTGGCCTTAGAACAATGGCTATCAATCATACAATAAAGACATTCTAAATCTCAACTCAAACAACATTAATGCCTTAACCTAACATAAACTCTAACCTTATCTTTGATTTTAGGGTTTTTGTTCCATCTTTCTTAACTTATCTTTCACATGCTTTTCCTACATGATTTTTTATGTTGAATCCATGTTTAAACTTTGATTTATCAAAATCTAATTCCTTCCCTTAGTCCTTAATCTGGCCGAGAAGTTCCCCCTTGAAACTCAAAAATTTTATTTTTAAGTTTAATACTTCCAAATGCATGTTCTCATTCACTTCCTAAACCTATTGAAAGCATTAAATTAACTTGAAGGAAACCCTAGCCTAATGTTTTATGCTTGATCGAGAGATATCATCGATCATGGTGGCTTGAAATTCTTTCATAATTCATGCAATAACACATGTTTCCAACAATTTTCTATCCTTTAATCCTTAAGCCATTATATAATCATTCTTATCAAATCAAATAACAATTAAGGTAACATAATTCCCTAAGGTTTCAATCCCTAAATCCCAATAAGATTAAATTCCAATCAACCACTAATCAATATAATTAAGCCCTCAATGAAAGCTTAAACGTACCTCGATTGCTTGCTTAAGCTTAGCTAACCTCTCTTGATGTTTCTATTCTTCCTTTTCTCTCTTTCTCTCTCTTAAATTCAAGAGAAAAACATTCCCCCTTTAGGTTTTTCAATATGGCCAAAATATATGTTATCGGTGGGTATTTATAGGTAAATTTTTACCCTTAGTTTGCCTTGTTTTGCCCTAGGAAACTTGAAAATTTTATATCATCTTTGTCAAGATGGAGCCAAGTGTCTAAACATGTGATAAAAACCTAATTAAAAATTACAAATCAGGCTATTCCAAATCAAGATCATGCTATGTGTCTTTTAAACCCTAAGATCATACCATTTGCCTTATAAAGTGTCTTCCTTCTAGAAAAACATGTGTTTAAAGATATATTATTTCATTACATAATTCATTCTTCTAGGCATGTCCTTCAAAAATTTGAAAAATTTCAACTATGTCCTCTGTTCATAAAATGGCGCCAAAACTGGTAGAAAATGAGGAAGAAAAATTGCTCTACCATACTTTAGGTCATTCCACTGAATAGCCACACCGAATCTGTTAAATTTTTCTTAAATCCTATCCAATCCAGTGGTTCAAAAATTTATTTCTTCATGCCAATAAATTTCTAATAAGAGGAAGTCTCCTAATTTTTCTCATATTAAAAGCCAACATATAACTCTATTCAAATTTCTCTAAAATCGACCTCCTACCAATATAACTCAACATTAAATATTTTTAAAGTTAACATCTGTACTTTCAGAGGTCATGAATAATTTTCAGTCACTAATAAATTTCAAATAATTTTTCTCATTTTTTTCTTCATTTATTAAGGCCTTTATGTATTTAAAATAATTGATATTGGCTAATTTTTCCTATTTAGCCAAAAATACCAATAATTAGAAATAATTCTTTGATAAATTATTTCCAGCTTGTTTTCACTTTTTAGGCCTCAAATACTAGTCTAAACCCTTTATTCTATTTTTCTTTATTTTCTAAGAATTTTTAGGTATTTTGGATATACTTTCTAATGCTGCACTTTCTTGACTGGATATTTCATAAACGACAGTCCGGTCTTGCTTGGTTTTACTTCAAAAGTTGTGCCATCTATGCCTCTACTACAATACCTAGCCCTCGGTCAATTCTAGGTTAAAATTAATAGGATATGACAAGGGCCAATCAATGTCAAAAATGAAATCTATACTCAAATACATATAGGGTGCAAAGCTAATCCAAAGTTTTGATAGAGACGAGGTGACAAAAGGCAATGCTCAAGAAGGACTTCAAGAGAACAAGGTTAGCCAAGGGTAATCCTACTATGGAGGACTAGAAGGAGAATCCTCTAGAGCTATGTCTACTCCACAAGAAACACACTCTAAGGATGATAAGTGGTTCTCTTAGATGGTTAAGGCATTTATGCAATGATTGAGTATATATTTGAGTCTGAAGCTAAGTCCAAGTAAGATTTACAGCCATAGAG